TTCTGCCTCCGCGGGGCCCACTCGCAACAGCCCCCCGCGCCCTCCCGGGGCCGGGCCTTAGGGGGCAAGATTGAAGCAGGGACGCGCCGGCCCTAGTTGTTGGCTGGCTGGCTTGCTTGCTTTCTCCACGACAGTCAGGACCAACAACTGTTGGCAGGTTAGGCTGGCAGCAACTTTCCTCTACCTCTGCGGAGAGTTTCTCCGACCCGGTCGGGAGGGCTGGATCTGCCCCAGGAACCCGGGGCTTGTCGGCGGGCGCTTTGCGAGAGCAGGCCCGGTGCGACACGGTGTCCGCGCCTGCAAGACGTGGGACCCTTTACCCGAGCACCCTGCTTTAGGACAGCCTCTGCCTGCACTGCTGGCTCGCTCTTGGGGTTGCTGCTCTCACTTCCGAGTTGCTGAAGAAGAGTCTCTCTTGATTCCCCAAGCCCTTCCCGTCAGCCTCGGAGCTGAAAAGTCCACGCTGGCGAGAATCATAATCAATAATGAGTATTTCGTTGGCTCTTACATTTCCTGGGTGCCTGATGGGGGCCAGGTGGCCTGCTACACACTGTCTCATTTAATCACAACAACGCTTTAAAGTAATCATGACATGAGCAAAATTTATATATCCAGGTGCCTTGCAAACATTAACTCAATTTGCCAGTAACCTCTGGAGGAGGTGCTGTCAGTATCCCCATTTTATAAATGAGGAAACTGAGGCTCAGGCCCAGGAATCGGCTTGGCTTAAGTCAGGAGGCTTGTGAGTTGTGGAGCAGGGATTTGAACCCCGGGAGCCTGGCTCTACAGTGTGCTCAGCAGGTCTAAGCTGTGTTTCGTAAATAAGGACGCTGATGGTCAGAGTTAAGTGATTTTCCAAGGGTGACCCAGCTCCCAAGTGGTCGAGCTGGCATATGAGCCAGCATAGATCAGAGTGTGAGGAGGAGGGACTTGGATCACAGTGGGGAGAACTTCACCCCTTGTCCCCTGGCTACCAGGGCGGCGGGGTTTCTGGTGAATCTGAAATCGGTGCTCTGGGAAGTGCTTTTGTCATCCTTGTCATTGTCTTGGCTGATAGTGACTGGAAGTTTGACTGGGACGTTGACTGGGATGGTTGGGCCAGGACAGCTCTGGTGGAGTAGCCAGCAGCCAACAGGATGCAAGGGGGCATGAAGGTCCTCAGCCCCCCGCCCCCCAGGCTCCCTGACCACCTTCCTGATCACAGGTGCTATCAAGGAGGGCACTCCCAGAGAGTGACTTTTGGGGAGGGTGGGGAGTCAAGGACATTTTTGTGTTTTCAGGAGACTTCAGGAGGCTTGAGAGCTGCAATTCGGGATCCTTTATAGAGTCTGCCCTGGCTGTGCCCAAGGCCATGGGGTGGATTATCATGACAGCCCTGGCCACGATCCCCCACGGCGGGCCTGTCAGAGCTGCTTTGTACCTAGTTCCGGACTCTTTACCAGTGCACTTTCCTACTTCTTGATTTGGGGACAGAGTGGGGCCTTAGCAGTTATGTGGTTCAACCCCTCATTTTACAAGAAAGGAAACCGAGGGCCAAATATTTACCAAAAGCCAAGCTGTGGTCCAGAGTGGTGGTTGAGAGTCGCCTTTGAAGCCAAATGGCTTGTGTTCAAATTCCAGCTCTGCCGTGTTCTGTGTGAGCTTGAGCAGTGGGCTTTGCTTCTCTGTGAGGCAGCCCTCTTCTCTGTAAAATGAGGATAAACATAGTATGAGGATCAACTGGGAAGATAAACCTAAAGCGCTTAGAACACTGCTTGGCATAGAGTGGTAGCCTTTATTGTTGGTCAGGGTCCCGTGTTTGTTCCGGATGAGAGCTATTTTCAGAGGATGGGCTTAATGTGGATGCAACACCCCATAGGCTAGGTCTCATAGCACCTCTGCTTGGTGCTTGATAAATAGAGGCTCCCAGTGCCTTGGGTTTTTAAATAATACAATTGTATTTCTTTCAGAGATTTATTTGTCATGAATTCAGACTATCTTTTTGCTAAGAATGAGATTTTTGCTGCCGATTGGTACGCATGATTTGCATTCTTAATACATGCAGACACTTCTGGCTGAGTGGGGTCAGGGAAGAAAGAGACTCTGGGGAGCTGAAGGCTGAGCTGGAGTTAATGACATAAAATTCAGGGCAGCAGTCAGAGGAATGATCTGAGTGAGAGGGAGCAAGCAGTTTCTTCAGGACAGAGAAGGAGCGCGGGGCACAGAGCCACTAGCCCATCGCTGGTGGCCATACCCCCTCTAGGTCCCAGGCCAGGTGGGTGCCTTGTTTCTGTTAGAAGTCCTACACTCCCCTGCAGCTGGAAATTGCCCTCCTCCACTGCGTGGCCAGTGCTAGAGGCAGAGACAGAGGCTCTGTACTGGATGAGTAGGTTGTATACTGTTCGGTATACAAACAGCTTCTTCCGAGCTGTTTCCAGAGCTGTGTTAGTCCTTCTCACGACAGTATCCAAACGAGAGCCAGAGGGTTAGACCCCAGAAATCCTATCCACAGGAATTTAATTCGTGGAGGTGCCTATATTCATCTATAGGCGGAATCAGCTACATAATTTGTGGGATCCAACGCAACATGAAAATGTGGGGTCCTTGATTCAAAAATTTCAAGAGAGTGACAGCGGAGATGAAGCCAAGCAGTGGGCCCTTCCAAGTGCAGGGCCCTGGATGACTGTGGATCATACACCCAAGAAGCCCACCCTGCTCACAGGTCGGCATGTGTCACTTTCTGTTGCCCTCCCCTGCCTAGCTTTCAGAGCTTATAGACGAATATCAGTATTTTGAAGGTGTTTCCTCATTGGAGCCTACACTCACCTTGCCAGGCATCATTTTCCAATTTTTCAGACGAGGAGAGCCTCACATCTAATGACACCAAGTTTCTCGCCCTGCTGTATTAAATACCAATCCCCAGCTCTCTGCCCAGCCCCACCAAGCCACTGGGAAGGCCTGGGCTGTGAGAATCCCAGTGCCCAGCCCACGTGGGGGAGGGTTCCTTGTGGCTAGAATCCCGTTTGCTCTGTTTCATTCAGCCTCTTCCCTCCCAATGTTGTCATATTCCTCCTTTAAGAACTGGCCTTGGAGGGGTCCTTATAGGGGTGGAGATCTGGGTCTGAGATCGGCTGGCAGGCCCCGTGGCTTTCTGGGCCACTGTGTGGTGCCCTTCACCAGAGGGCGCTGTGCTTTCTCCCTCCAGCCTGCACTAGGTTCCTCGTGCCCCAGGGTCTTTGCACAGGTGGCACCCCCTCTCTCCCAGGAAGGTCACTCTTTTCTACTCTCCTGATTTTTTAAAAAATATATTTTATTTATTTATTTGACAGAGAGAGAGAGAGAGAGCGCAAGGGCACAAGCAGTGGGGGGAGTGGCAGGCAGAGGGAGAGGGAAAAGCAGGGAGCCCGATGTGGGGCTCAATCCCAGGACCCTGAGATCATGACCTGAGCCAAAGGCCAGATGCTTAACTGACTGAGCCACCCAGGCACACCTACTCTCCTGAATTTTATGTCATTTACCCCAACTCAGCGTTTAGCTCCCCGTCACCTCCCCAGAGTCTCCTTCTTCCCTGACCCTACCACAGACTAGATCGGGATCTTGCCCTGATTTTTTTTAAAGCCTTGCACCTTTTCCCTGTAGCATGTGACACTGTTTGCCGTTCCTCCTGTGTCATTTTCCCCCAGGACCAGCTGCCTTGCCCACTGGACTCTCAGCTCCATGAGGTTAGGAACGCTGTCTTCTTCTTCTTTTTTTTTTTTTTAAAGATTTTATTTATTTATTTGACAGAGAGGAACACAAGCAGGCGGAGTGGGAGAGGGAGAAGCAGGCTTCCCGCTGAGCAGGGAGTGCGATGCGGGGCTTGATCCCAGGACCCTGGGATCACAACCGGAGCAGAAGGCAGACGCTTAACGACTGAGCCACCCAGGCGCCCCAGGAATGCTGTCTTCTTTGTGCAGTGCCTGGCTCAATGCTGTTGCTCAGCAAGTATTTGTTGAGTGATTAACAAAGCATAGGCTGGGACAGAAGCTGGAGGAAGTGGGAACTCTGGGTGCAGAGGTGCCTGGGGCGGGGGCCGGTGGGGGTAGGGGAGTCTACCTCCCATCTCACTTCCCTGCAATGCAGGGTTACAAAGCAAGAAATTCAGTTCTTCTCTGGGTAAGAATGACTTTTTGACAATTCTCCATCCTAGGCCAGGAGAGGGGAGACCACCCTGCCCGGAGGGTGACACCCATCCTGTCCTGTCCTGTAGCTGGCTTGGCCCTTGTTTGTTTGGCTTGCTCCTCTGCCCTGTAGGGTGGGTATATTTTCTATCATTCAGACAGAGGCAGAAGAGAAAGGCCTGGACTCCTACGGGCACCGCCTTCTGGTCAGCCTGACTCCATACGTTGGTTGGTGTTGCCCTTGCTTCCCACCGTCCTGACTCCCACCTGCTGTGTTCTCTGCTGAGCCTTAGGGGCCCTGCTGGCTGCAGCCGGGCAGATGCTGTGTGATGCTGTTTTTTCTAGTATTTAACCAGATATCCAGCTCAGCTGACCTCTGCTAAGCACTGGGGCCTCTACCTGCGCTTTTCCTCCTCCTTCCCCAGGCTGGCACGGGAGCTGTGTTCGCTGGGTTTTAACTAGAACCAAAGAGAGGGTACTACTGGGAACACCTGGCTTTCAAGGAAGGCTCATTGCAGGCCTGGGGCCCCCTGAGAGCCCATGTCCTTTAGCAAAGCTTTATGCCCCTGAAGGACCCTTGGCCCTGAATTTCGGTCATCCTCCAGCCATGCCTTTGAATTGCAAGTGGGTGTAAATATCTGGGTTGGTGGCAGACGTAGGGCCAAACGAGCCTTCCTGCCTGTGAACAAGGTTGTATGGCTCGCTGGGGTTGTCGGAACAAAGTGCCACGGACTGGGGGACTTAAACAACACACATTTATTTCCCATTGTCCTGGAGGCCTGAAATGTGAGCTCGAGGTATCGGGAGGGTTGGTTTCTCTCAAGGCTCCCTGTTTGGCTTGCAGATGGCCATATTCTCCCTGTGTCCTCACATGGGCTACCTTCTGTGTGTGCACGTATCGTGCCCAAGTTCCTCTTATAAGGACACTGCACATGTTGGATTAAGGCCCTCTCTAATAGCTCCATTTTAACTTAATCACCTCTAGAAAGGTCCTATCTCCAAATACAGTCACATTCTGAGGAGTGGGGATTTGGGCTTCCAACATATAAATTTGGGGTCACAATTCAATCCGCAACAGGGGTCTTTGCACTTTGGTGGGAGAAGCATGCGTGGGCCATTTGTAAGAGAATATGGGGCTGAATGAAGGTGGAGAGGCGCCCTGGTAAAAAGAAAAGGAGGGGTCCTTTTAGGCAGATGGTTTGGTCCATTGGCTTTCCCGGGAGCTGCTGACTCCTGGTCTGAGCTGTAGAAGTGGAAGGGTTACTCGTTTGCCTCCAGGATGGAATCTGGCTTCCCATGGGGACTGAGCACTTGGCACATTCTCCTGGTTTCAGTCACTATAAATAATCCCTCCTTCACTTGGCGTTAATAGGAGGAGACTGGGGTGTGGGGTCTGGGCTCTCTCATCCCACCCATCTTGTTTCAATTTCCTGCCTTCCCCAGTTCTCCCCTTGACTCCAGTGGGGGGCCCTTGGGGGCGGGTAAAGCTGGGCTTCAGTTCTGGAAGCCAGCTGCCGCTCTCTGCGGCTCTCCTCCTGCCGATCCCCAGGCAGCTGTTGGAGCAGGTCAGCCTGGTGTCCCGGCTGTGGCCCATGGGGACTTCATACAGGGCCTTAGCAGTCAGGAGGGACTTGGCCTAATTTAATATGGCGTCTGGGCAAGGTGTAGGGCAGATGGGCGAGATGCAAGGGGGACAGCGGGGAGCATTCCCTCCTCTTTTGTCCTACATGAGCTATTTCTCTCACAGGGAGATTGTTACTAGAGAATGTGCACCTTCCTTGGTTGCTGATGCTCTTCATTCCTGTAGTAGCTCCCTGGACTGGCTTTATCCTTTGTTACTGTAGGCATAGAAGATCTCATTCTTTTCCACAAGGAGAGTCCAGCCCAGCACCAACCTTTTTCTTGTGAATTTATGTCCATCTGTTTTTTAAGGTAACAAAAGATTATCATGATGTGGTAATCATGTGGCCATGAGTGATGGCCCCCAACGATGTCTGGGTCCTAATTCCTGGAACCTGTGAATATTACCTTATGTGGCAAAAGGTACTTTATGGATGTGATTAAGTTAAGGATCTTGGAGTGTTCTGGAGTATCCTGGTGGGCCTGGCATCTGAGAGATGGGAAAGAAAATTAGAGAAAATTGACCCTTCCATCATATCTCTGAACGTATTCAGTTTATGAACTCAATAGTGGAAGCCATATAGGAGGATGAGCTTATTGCCTGGACTTTTACCCTGAAGAATATTTTTCACGGGAGTCTTTCCCACCCCGACAGAGATAGGGCCTCACCTTGTTGACTCACGGCCTCTTCCTAGTGGAGGGTTCAAGTCTTTCCTGATCTCTTTTTATCCTTCCTCCTTGCTTACCTGCAGCATTGGCCAGAGTTCAAAGCTTTTGGTGACTCTCACATCAGGACCCAAGCCCCTTCTTGTGACCAGAGGTGACATTTGGGGCTTGAGATACCCCAGGAACCCCTGCTTGTGTGGTGGGGCAGGCAGGGGGTGGTGCTTGCTGCTGTTGGGCAGTTGGCAGTGCAGGGGGAGGATGTGGGACCTGGGGTGAAGACAGCCCTGCCGTCAGGTTCTGGGCATCCTGTGCGGAAACATCCTTTCTGGGCTCTGCCTTCCAGCTGACGGCTCCAGCGGTGAGCTCCAGGGCAGGACGGCCACACTGCTTAGTCCCTGTTGTCACCATGTAGTGAGTCTCCCGGGGGGAGGTCTCTGTGTGAGGTCCTCTGGTTTGGCTGGTCTGAGTGGGTGTTGGAGTGGCTCCCTCCAAGGTCAGCTTGGGGGGCAGAAGGGCAGTTCGGGAGGGGCAGCCCTTGGGGGTGGATCTAATGAAGAAAACAAAGGACGGGATGTAGTAGACCAGGTCTGGAATTTTGGAGCATCTTTTGAGTTGTTGGGGCGTTCTCCCACTCCTCCCCGTTCCTGGGTTTGTTCATTCTTTATTCCTGCACTGCAGCTTTGAGACCGTGGACCTAAGTGTACAAAAGACTTAGAGCAAGACACCGAGAAACCTCTGCTGCCCCAGCTCCTCGGTACTAGTTCAATGCCTGCCTGACTAGCACTGATGTTCTGCCTTGGTTACAGTGGGAATCACGGAGACAGGGCAAGGGGCTTGGAAGGGCGGCTCCTGGACCCACAGCACTGCCACCTCAGGCAGGTGATGAAACTGATCTAAAGTGACCCTGGGAGGCAGGTGGATGGGATATGGGCTGGAAATTTTTAAGGGATTCCAAAAACCCAAATCTTTATGTGAAATGTCCTGAGTGTTAAATGTCAGCAACTAATTAAAGAAAATTTTCAACTATGTCTGGGCCAGGTGGTCAGTGGCATCTCATGTGGATGGGATTGTCCCATGGATGAGGACATGGGAGCCCACAGAAACCCCCTGTCCCCCACAAAGGCACAGAGTGAGTGTGGAGGGGATCAGGGTGGCCTGCCCCTCTGGCCATGCAGTTGGCTCCCGGAGAAAAGATGCACTGTGTGTCCTTCTGGGGAAAGGCAGTGGCCATGCTCATTTTCTTCCTTTTTTCTCTGCAGAGGTGTGTGGGGCCCTCAATGTCACCGTGTCCCCGGGGCCTGTGGTTGACTACCTGGAGGGGGAAAATGCCACTCTTCTCTGCCATGTCTCCCAGAAGAGACGGAAGGACAGCTTGCTGGCCGTGCGCTGGTTCTTCGCACGCCCCAACTCCCCGGAAGCCTTGATGGTTAAGATGACCAAGCTCCGGGTGGTGCAGTACTATGGGAATTACAGCCGCAGCGCCTTCCGGCAGAGGCTGTGCCTCCTTGAGGAGAGGCGCGGGGCACTCTACACACTCTCGGTTTTGACCCTCCGGCAAGCAGATCAAGGGCATTACGTCTGCAAAGTCCAGGAAATTAGCAAGCACAGGAATAAGTGGACTGCCTGGTCCAACGGCTCCTCAGCGACGGAAATGAGAGGTAAGGGCATATGCGCTCTTTGGGGAGAGATGGGGGGACAGATCAGTGGTCCTTCCTCTAATCGGCGAGATAGGGGCCCCCAGATGGCTCTGCTGGGCTAGAATGCATTTTCATGGCCTCTGTGGGCCATGTGAACTAGGCTGTGGGGATGAGGATAGATCTTTCCTTGGACACTGGGGCTAACATGGAAGTAAGGAGAGGAAGGAGCAAGTGCCTGGCCCCATTCTGCCCAACGTAGCCCTGGGCAAAACCTTCATGTCTAAAAGATTGGACTAGCTGTGTGTGTGCTTTGCCCCCAGCTCAGGTCTGTGCAGCCTTGGTTGCTTTGGCTGGAGGGTGCTGGGCATCCCCCGGAGGAGGCATGCATCGGGAGGTCCTGATGTCAATTTCTAGGCCTCCGAGCAGGGCAGGCTGGTGGCTCTGATCTATTGCCTAGAGGAACTGATCCAAGTCCCAGGCAACATCTCCCTGAGAAATTCATCTGAAAGTGGGCAGAGGACCAGAGGTAGCCCTCCCTTCCTGGAGAAAGATTGGAGGCATGGGCCGTGTTCTGGAACATCTTAGCTACCAAGCACCATATTCGAAGGTTATCATTTTTTATCACAAATATTCTACAATTTTAATAAGACTTGCTATTGTGTGCTAAATATTACATTTTTTATTGTTTTGAACTTGAATTTGGTCTGGTACAAGATAAAGAGGTTCACAAAGTAAAGCTGATGGTCCCAAGTGTGAGAAAGAATCTGATATTATTACATGCATGTAATATAATATTAAAGGCATTAGTGATTTTTTTTTTTTTTTAAGATTTTATTTATTTATTTGACAGAGAGATAGCGAGAGAGAGAACACAAGCAGGGGGAGTGGGAGAGGGAGAAGCAGGCCTCCCGCGGAGCAGGGAGCCCGATGTGGGACTCGATCCCAGGAGCCTGGGATCATGACCTGAGCCGAAGGCAGACGCTTAACGACTGAGCCACCCAGGCGCCCAGTGATGTTGTTTTGATAAGCTTTTTTTGAAGGGATAAAACTCAGTTGTGAAGAGGTTGTTTTTTTTTTTTTTTGATAGAAGGAGAAAGGGTATTTTTAATATCCTGCATGAATAAGGGACATGTTAAAGTAGATAATTTATGTAGATAGTGGTTAGTACAACTTTATTTGCCTTTGGAGTTTGCTCATTATAATCTTCTAAAGCACGGAATGATGTATTATCTGAAATGTGCACTTTTTCTCCCTAAGCAAATTCATTCAAGAAAACAAATGACTATTAGTATAAATACATCTTTTGGCACAGAAAACAGAAAAATGCATCAGATGACCATGGGCTGAGGAGGGAATCCACTCTGAATATCACTTAGCTCTGAAACATAAGATCTTATACATGTCCTTTTTATGTTTATGTCACCGTATGTTCTGGAACTGTACATTACACTTCTTGGTAGTGAGGACTCTGTGCAAATTAAAATAGATGAAAACGTTCCCTGCTTTCAAGTGCAGTCATCTAGTTCATTATTTAATGTGAATCTACTTTCATTGAAGGTGGGTTCCTTCTAGAACATTTATTTAGGTACTTGCTCCCCGAATCTGAGGTGGCTCATAAGGTTTCACTGGAAATACAGACCCTTGTCCCCCTTCTCCCCCTCCCCCCCTCCCTTCCTCCTGTTCCCGCTCTCTTCTCCGAACCTCCTTTCTCTTCTTTCTCTCCTTTTCTTTCCATCTCCTGGTCCTCTCATTTCTATTCTTCCCCTCCTCCCTCCCCTTCCCTTCACTTACTCTTTTCTTCCTCCTCTTCCCCTTGTCTCTCAATCTGTCTGCCTCATGCTCATCCCCCTCAGGCCCTGGAAGTTGTTCTAATCTCAAAGCAGAGCTGGGCCTCCCTGGCTGCATCTGCTCAACCTCAGAGCCTCCCGCTCCTCACACTGTCTCAGCCTCTGGGCAGGGCTGTGGTTTTTCGATGGGACAATTGGAAACCTTAGGAAGTGATGACCATACCTTCTAGAACATTCCATGTAGGCTTCAAGGGGACTCCACCAGGAGGGTTAAGAAAAGGTGACTCTACATAAATGACCTGAAAGCAGACTGTCTTGTTTAGGTTGGAACATGTCCACCCCAGGCTGGGGGGGAGCGTGCGGAAGCTTGGCTCACTAGTCCCTCCTGGGCAAGGCGCGGATCAGGCCCGTGGCTCCAGCCTCCCGGGGCACCATTTCCCCAGGCCCTTTTCCTTGCTCATTTCCAGGGGCCATGTTTTCCTAAATCTTCATCTCATATTAATAATTGTTTTATGGAAAACCAGAACAAAACCAAACACAATGAAAAGTTCTGTGGGCAAATACTTTTGGGTGATAACACTGAATAGCAATTCTCAGAAGTGTTTTTTGCAGTGAGTGCCTTTCCTCCTCTGGGCTCCAGAGCCCCTCTGTCCTAGGGAACTCAACTTTGCTCTCCTTCCTGCAGGCTTCTGAAGCCATTCACAGGAGAGGGGAAATTTTCTCGGGAATGTTTTTAACACTACCGCTCTCCCCTGCCCTTGACCACGGACTGTCACACTCTCCTTGCATTGTTCTTTTTTTTTTTTTTTTTAAAGATTTTATTTATTTGACAGAGAGAGATACAGCGAGAGAGGGAACACAAGCAGGAGGAGTAGGAGAGGGAGAAGCAG